TAAAAAAAAAATTTTTATAATAAAAAAGAATGTAAAAATAGTTCTGATTCCTTTTTTTTAAAAAACAGATATAAAAGTTGAGCTATAATAAACATAATATAGCATATTTAACTGCAAATTTCGATAAGATTTTCCTTGAAATGTAATATGTAGTATTTATTAATTATGTGTATTTTATTAAAATTTTCTCAGAGCTTTATTTTGATTACAATATTTAAAATGTTTTAATGTTTTAATGATACGTTATTGATGATATGATTATTATTTATTATTGATGATATGATTATTACTTATATGATAATACAAGAAAAAAATTTTTTTTAAAAAGTTAAAATGTAAAAACAATGTATTTAGATTTATTTAAAATTTCAATTTTTATACTCTCTCAGAAGAATTAACGTTAATAACAATTCGATTCAAGCAAGTCTTCCATGTTCACGATGCCTAAGTTCCGTTAAGTACAAATGTGCGTGGCTTTGCACACATTGCACACATTTATGCAGTTTTCTTAATTATTCGGTTTGTACATAAAGTTGAATTTTGATATTATTTCTGAAGATAACGATTTTAAATTGCAATCAATTATCTTTAATCTATTAATTTTTATAAAAGTTGTATAATTTTTAATGTTTTAACAGAATTTGCTTATACTTTATAAATAATATATATGTGTAAAATTAATAAAAATTATGGAATTGTATATTTTTTTTATAATAGCATTAAATGAAATAGATAACAGAGGCAAGAACTATATTAGAATAGATTATTAAGTATCACGTCACATTTCTTTATCTTTTTCTTCAATTACAAATATCATTGAAACAATTAGTTACAAAGCATGTATGAAGTGTAGCAAAAATTACTAAGTGTATTATTAAGACAGATGTACATTTAACAAATCTTAATGTCAGCAATTAAAAATCTAAAAAAAAAAAACGCTTCCGACAGCTATAAAATTAAAACTGTGCAGAATAATTGGCAATATCATATAATTTTAATTTATTATCATTTTTATTATTTTAAAGTAAAATTATTTAAATGTAAAAAATAATAAAAATTCTATTGTTTTAATTTTAATAGAATTTATTTTATTTTTCGTTGTGTGTGTGTGTGTGTGTGTGTGTGTGTGTGTGTGTGTGTGTGTGTGTGTGTGTGTGTGTGTGTGTGTGTGTGTGTGTGTGTAAATTGTGTTTTATATTATTACTTATATATTATTTTATATTATATATATGATAAACAAATCTCTATGTAAAAAGTACTTTTGAGATTTTTTTGGATAAAACAATATGTAATAATTATCCAGTTTATATATATATAACTGTATATAATAAGGATTTTACATGTTAAATGAATAAAACTAGGAAGTCACGAAAAACAAGGAAAAAAACCAAGCAATTGCGCCAAGCACTCAACATGTTATTTAGTATGAGCAGCACGAAAGACGAATGATACTCTATATAACCTATTTTTTTATAATCTCTTTTAAAATAATTATTTACAAATATATGTGCTTTTAAATATTTCGATAACGGTTGTGTTTTTCTTCATTAGCTGCGATACTTTAATTTCCTCGATAATAATTTGCGATGTTTTATTATAAATAAAAAAGGCGACAGCTAATTCTAACAAAATATTTTGGAGTAGGGGTTTAACGTATTTTTTACGTTTACATTTAAAAAATTATTTTCTAAAGTACAGAAATATTACATTTAAAAATAATTAATTTAAAATATCAAAGAAATATGTTCTCAAGTTCGAACGGGGGGGGTTCAATCCCAATTTGGCTTTCTATTTCTGTTTTCCATTTCTCATCAAAAGCGTGTCTTGTTTCAGTTTAGAAAACTGGATACACAAACTATGGATAAAAGCTATACAGTACCAATCGCGCAGGTAGGCAGGTTTTACTGCACAAATGGGAGAAAGAGAGAAAGACTCATGGGAGTGGGGAAAAGACTGTTCCACAGAGCAGGAATGGTGGTAGAGAGTCCGGTAGGTACGGTGGAAGTCAGCCACGAAGACGTGACGTACATACTCGACAGCGTACAGTGCACCATGGAGTAGCTATGGCATAGTTAAAGTGGGAGAAACCGTGTATGACCGTCCTCAGCCGGAGCCAGTCTCGTGTGAACGACCGTGAAGTGAATCTCGGATGGTGTACACTTAAGACCTTGAGTCCTTCTTACATTGGGACTTCGGAACCCTAGGATAATCGGTTACTGCAATATTGAACGCGGAAAGTGAACGATTGTCAGTGCGTTCTGTGTATTTTAACAGAAATGAAAGAATGAAGATCGAGATTTCTGACGTCATTATGAGTTATTATTCTCAAGGAGAAATTCGTTGGTCCAGATTCTCCGAGAATGTGAATGTTCCAGAAACTTCGGGAATGTGCGTCTCGCGAATGTCTTTAGTGTGAATTGAGTGCTGAGAAATTGCACCGAGGTGTTGTGCCGAATATGAGATGCGACGTCGAGGACCTGCTCTTTGAACTATCTTTTATTTTGTCACTGGTTTATTATTCTGCATTAAATTAATTATCTCAAAGGAGCAATTGTTAATCATTGTCTTCAACAGTATCATCAGTTTGTAAATTTATTATAGTATTTATTGCTATTTAAAATAAACAATAGTTTACTAATAAATTTATTAATATCAACCTAATAAGTATTTAAATTCTTATACGACTTTTTTATTATAAAATTAAAAAATTAATAGTTCCAATGTTTTGTAAAAAGTTGTAAAATTGTTAAAGTTTCTTTATTAAATGTAGATGTCACAATTTAGCTTTAATTTTATAAAAAGATTTAATTAATTAATTTATGAATTAATTAATTTTTTTTAGAAATTTTGAAAAAATATTTTACTTTTTCTTTAAGAATCAAAAAAAAGTTACGTTAGAAAAATTCTGACAGAGACAACAAAAGCAGCGAAATTTTTTAAAATGCAACAATATATATTTTAAAGTGAAAATAACAAGATTACACTTTAACAAACTTTTGTGACAACAAAATACAATCAACTGCGTGAAATGGGCTTCTACCTCATCAGATATTAAGTCAAATTCCGGCGCGGCACATTGGCCAAAAACCTGACGTGTATACCGGTCTGATCCGCCGCCAAGTAGGTCAACCGGCGTGCGCGAGAGTGCGAGACTGAATAAGAGAAAAAAAGAAACATTATTAAGCGAAGGAAGGATAAGGGGAGGAAGGAGAAAGAGAAAGAAAGAGAGAGGCGGAGGAAAAAAGAAAGAATGGCGTGCCGTAGGCAGCGCCCGTGAAGTCAGTTCTCCTGATGTCCAGCGGTTCGTTGTAAGCTTGTGATCCAAAATGGCGGACGTCGGCAGACATCACAGCTCGCTTCGAATCAACAACGACCGGTCCAGGTGCGCAGAATCCTGAAGGAGTAGCCACGCGATATCGCGTCCTTGACATTCACATCCTTGATCTTGCTAATAGCGGGGTTGCAAGAACAGTCAATGATCATGGTGGGGCCCATTGGGTCGAAGGTCCTCGTGACCTTGACAATCCTTGTGCTATCCGGTAAGTCTGAAATAAGAAAGGTTGGGATAGGATAGTGAACCATGATGGAGATAGAAATGGAACAATTATAGATACAGACTATTTATATTAAATGTTCTATGATCGACCCTTTAAAAAAAAATAAAAATTTATACAAAAATTTAATTAAATATTAAATATGTACATGCTTTATACGTATATTTTAATTATTTATGAGTCTATCATTGATAATCATAGAAACGATATAAATTATATTTAATAAAACGAATAATTTGATCTATAATGATAATTTATTTAATTGTAAATATATAATTTATAAAATATAATTTAATTAATAAAATATAATTAAAAATATAGTTAATGGTAGACAAAATTTTTGTTTACTTATTAATACGTCCATCTAATCAATTTATTAAAAAATTATGAAAGATACGCGGACTGAAAGATTCGAATGGAGATATCAATGATCGCAAGGTGATGTTTTCGTGGTGATATTAACGCCAAGCTTGTGTGTATCGACGTCGCATCGTCGCGTTTGCGAGATAATTAGTATAATTTATAAAAAAATGTAATCTTTGAAACTTATCTTGAACCTGTCCGATATGTTTTCAAGCAGCGTGCTATCAGCATGCTTGAAACCGGTATCTTGACCTCTGCTGAAATTTCGGCACAAGAATGTTATACCGATACTCCATCATATTGCACACACGTAGTTATTAAGTAATTGAGGAATATTTTATCACGTTTTTCGTTAAACCTGTGGACTTCACAAGGATTCAGGACAGCCATTCTTATGTATGATAAATATTGATCTCCAATTCTTGAAAAAAGTTGTTAAGAATTTATGTAAATACGTACACGGCTGCGTAAATAGCAATACGTCCGGTTTTGCAGCGGTGTATGCGTCAGTGCTACCTGAAGAGATAAGCACTTTGTATCCATGTCGTTTGTAGTCACGTTACTGCAAGTTTGGTTTCAATTTTACATGAATCCTATGTCCTAAAATCAAGCTCTTAAATACGAAATATCCATGCGGAAGTTCATACGCAATATATACGCAATTATAAAGCATACGGAAAAAAAATGATGTATCAACAGCGTCAAGCTTAATTGAGAATAATCTTATTAATTCAATAACATTATTAATAAAATAAATATATATGTAGTTGTTTCATTAATACTAACAATCATTAAATTAACAAGATTATTCTCCATTAGACTTGATGCTATTGAAATATTATTCTTTTCTGTGTGCATTCGATGATATGGATAGTGATTAGAACGTACGAAAAGATAAAAGTTTTAAATAATAATCTGCATTGAATTATTACTTTATGTATTATATTATAAAAATAACTGCATACAAAAAGATACTACAATATTGAAATTACTCCTCTCAAGAAGCGCTCAGAAGTCTTTACATTTCAAATTAAAAAGTTGGCGATGCGATTGCGAAATGCGTACACACACATGCAATTTGTCAATACAGTTTTACGGCCCGCATAAAATTTTAAGGATCAAATAAATGATCCAATGTAGGCGATATTTTCTCTTGCCACCTATCTCTATATAAAACGAAGACAAACGGAGAAAACGTGGATAACATTCTTTTTATTAGAATTAGGCTGTATACGAGACAAGTATTTAATATTCATATTGAATTATTTTAAATTTTCAAACGCATTATCGATGAAATACATCGATAGAATTATTTTATCTCTCACATTAATTGTGTTTAATTGTGTTATTAATAAATCGTGGAAATTTGCTTTTTTATAAATCTTTTTTCTTCATTGATTTTATTATTTTTGAAGCCTTTAGATGTACGCAATACAGACATTCCAGTCCATCTAAAATATTTAATTATAGCTGAAAATTCATGTACATTTCACGGATTTAATTTTGTACGTTCCAATACTCGTTATAATTTGTGATACGAGAGTCACTGAAATTATACGGTCATTACTGCATTTTCACATTTTCGCTTATTGGCTTTTACACTCTGAAGCATTAATATTGGGTCCTATGTCTCTTCACCTACGTATTAATGACTGTCGCATCGAGTTCCATCGCGAAATCCATTTCGCGTTAACGTAATTAACATTGATTTATGGAATTATGTATTAATATATTCTCAAAATGCTGACCCTACCAATTTGATTGGCCTTTATCAATTCGTTTCACAATGACGATGGCTTGTGATGTTCGGTGCCGTAAGCCATTTCTTCTTCGCCAACGAAAGAGTCATCGACTGACGCATCACACCCGCAGCTTTCATGAATTTTACCATCACTATATTATCGGGCTTCCCGTTTGCGCAAGGAGAGATATTTGCATGGAGTTACTAACGTCATCGCACGAGCAGGAGCAACGACACCGCGCGGAACGTATATCCGGCATAGAGTTTCATCACTCCCTGACTTTCGCCCAACCGCACTAACCGTGAAAGTGTCACGAAATCGCTGCGTGCACAAATAAACAAAAACGAAGGCTGGTTCAAGTTAAACCTAGAGAATTGTCACTTCGGAGATCTATCAAGATAAGAATTTGATCCTATCCACTGAATTTCTAAAAACGAGAATTAAAAGTTGAAAATTAATACGTCTATTATGTGAGAAGAGAATTACAAAATGTTGAAACATAAAGATGCAATAATTTTTAGTCTAATAGAATATTTGAAAAAAAAAAAAATACATTCAAAATTATTGAAACAAAAATGGAACGGTTCAGTTTTCTTGCTGATCATTTTGCTGCTGATCCTTTGTTTTTTTCTCGAACGTAACGCGAAGATGATTTCACACAGTTGACATTTATGGATTATGTCGTGTACAGCTATACGGAATCGCGTGCGTTCCCGTCACGTCGCGATTACCAGCTGTCATAAAACAATTCATGTTCCTTGTAGGTAGTATTACTTCACACGACGTTGTTTGCGTGTAGTCGTGCGTGTAATACCGATTTCACAACTTTGCGTAGTCAAATTGCGCACCGCGCAGATACAGAATGTCGCGTTTGCCAGACGAAAAGAATAAATATTGGGCTGGAATGGGGTACCGTTAAGTCTGCCGTTACCGCCTCGAGAGACGGCACATAGCACAGTATACGTGTCCACCAGGTAACCCTTGTGAGGTTTCTTTCCCGTTCCTTTATGGTTGCGCTAGACGAACCTCATCGATGTTTCAGTCAAATTACAAAAAAAGAAAAAAAAAAAAAAGAAAAAATAAGAAAAAAATAGTAAAACGAATATATAAATGGGATTTTACAAAATTCATATATATCGCGTTCGTCACATATTTTGTTATTTACAATCATTTCAAATATGTGTCCAGTCGAAAATCGAGAGACTAGCAATGTATGTCGAAAGAGTGACACGTGAGGTGGTGTGAATTATGTTCGCGTAGTGCAAACAATAAGAGATGATTATTCGAGATTTAACGTAAGAGTGTTGCGTGTTGCACATTATGGGAAATTTGTCGGGCCGTGCGAACCGGATCGATCTTTTGAATTAGATAGGACAGGTCGCACACTCCCATGCTTAATCGGTCACGGTTCTTCAGATCATCCATGTGCGCTAATGTCAGTTTCTGAGCAATATCATTATCATCAATATCATTATCGTCAATATTATTAATGTAACATACTTGAAATCGAAATATTTTTACATTTGTCTTTTTCTGTCGAAAATATACGTCATAACAACTATGCTGTTGAGAAACGTATTTTATGTTCTTTTAAAAAAATTCGTATTCGTGTTTTAAAAATATGTGTCACTGCGAACAACCGCTTTATTTCTCAGTTCTTTTCCTACAACCATTTGTCGATACCAACCCTGGCAATTTGCGGTTTTCACAATTATAAGAATCTTATCTTTATGGGTCTGCTTATACCGTCGCCTTCCAAGAGCCTTTCCTGTAACTGTTAATAAACATGGAAACTATTGGCTGGTATACCATATAGATGTATCTCTGTAAGTCGAGATTCAATTACTTGGAAGATGAATTTAGAAATAAGAAAGAAAATGGAACATAGATTCGAAAATGCGTTTCGAAAATTGTTTTTGAGTTATTATATCATGTTTACATTAAAATTTAAAATCGCTTTGCTTTCGAATTTTTTTGTCAAAATTGAAAAAAGAGGTCTTCATAAGTTTTATAATATAATTAAAGTCAAATAAAAGTTACGGGTTGCTTTAGAATAATTCAAGATGCACAACTATGGAGTCCTACCAAGGATTTCTACCAAAAAGTGCTAAACGAGCTGTATCTCCACGTGGCGCATCTTGTGTAGTGCTAAACAGTTCGCAACTTTTATTTAACTTTAATTGTGTTATAAAATTCAACTCAAACAAATTGTATTATAAAGACTATCTCTTTTTTCAATTTTGATAAAAAAATTGGAAAGCAATTTGAAACTTCAACATAAAATAATATATAATTTCTGTTTATATTAACTTTTTTTTCTCGTTGTTAAATCCCCAATCATCTTTCGAATGATTGATTTCTATTTTTGAAACACCTTATGTAGGGTATTAATCGTTTGAAATAAAAATTTATTTTTTATACAAGAAATCTTATACATAAACTCAAAACATTAAATTCGGAACGACTTTAATTATATTTTATATATAATTAAAGTATATTTTTAAATCAATCATTGTTTGTGTATTATTGGAAATCATAATTAAACTAATAAAATATATGTTAAAAAAATGTGAATCTACACTTTCTCTACCTGGAAATAATACAATTTCATGCAGGATACACATGTCTCTCCCCCTTTATTATATGCTACATTAAATAGGAATAGATAATCTCTTGTAATATAGGAATACTACCGTTCTCATTCTTCGGAACAGTTTCAATTCCTCTATTCATGATGCTCTCGGACCGAGCGATTCAGCAAGAAATGTTCTGCAAGAAGCTAATTAACGAAGTAAAAGTACCGTCGCTGCGGATCGTTGTGCCGCGTTAGGTACGTCTCTTGTATATCTGCTCACTAATTATTTCGAGTACGATTGCATG